TTGTAACAAACACACTGTGGGTTGATTTAAGGCGGAAGAAATGGAGGATTTGAATGTCCGATTATTATTATTTTTAGGTAAGAAGTTTAATTTTTGATAGTTACAAAATGTTCCAATGTGAATATTTGTATAGGGGCTGTTCATAAACTACGTATACCGTTTTTGAGAGGTTTAAGACTTTAAGGCAATTGGTCCCAAAGCCATATTTATGAAGACAAAAAGGTTTGCACCAAAACCGTCAGTTTTAAATATATAGTGTCTTCGGGAAAGTTTCTTCATATTTTTGGCCGATTTTGTTGTGTTAGTGAAATTAGGGTAATCCATAAAATTAGTGAATTTAAAATACAAACTTTTTATTATTTAAGATAGACCAATGCAGTGTTATAAAATTTGTAGAACAATCAATTTGAAGCAACTTTGCTGAAGACACCAAATTTCTATCTCTTATATTTTAAACAAGCAGGTTAGGGTTGTTGTGGACACTTTTAGAACTTTTCATGACGCATGTTTTTGCATACAATTTAAAAGAGTCATTATTTAGGAGAAAATCCTCTTTAACATTCTAATCATAAAAGATAACAACTTCGTTGCTTGACCAAAAACATGCGTCATCAAATGTTCTAAATGTGTCCACAACAACGTTTTTACGAGAAATAAATGTATTTAAAGATATTCAAAGAAAGTCGATTGTTTAGGAGCCACCCTAACCTGTTTGTTTAAAATAATCTTACCTCATGAACCATAAGAGATAGATATTTGATGTATTTAGCAAAGTTGCATCGAATTGATTATTCTATAACTTTTTAAAACACTGTATTGGTCTATCTCAAATAATAAAAAAGTTACCGTACCGTTGTTTTAATTCACAAATTTAATGGACCACCCTAATTTCACTAACATCAAAAAATCGGCCAAAAATATGAAGAAACTTTTCCGAAGACACTATATATTTAAAACTGACGGTTCAGGCGCAAACATTTTTGTTTTCCTAAATACGGCTTTGGGACCATTGCGCTATGCCACTGCCATTCAAACAAATTTTTACGTCAGAAACTCAGAGTAAACTAATTAAAAAGAGCGAGTCTTTCCGTATTTGCTACATAATTTCCATCACTTTCCCGTCTTATTTGTTTTATAGGATTCAATCATTCAGCAATTTGAAATTGATTTTAAACTGGATGGGCCTTAAAAGAAAATAATGATGATGGTGGACTTTGGAAAACTTATTTGTAAAACCCGAAACTGAACTAAACGTTTTTGGGGTTTTAATTTTGTGTTTAATTCGAAATCAAAATAACCATGCAATATTATTCACAGTTTTCATGATTTGATTTCCAGAATTAACATGGAATTTCGGTCTGAACTGAAGTATCATGGAATTCTTCGTATAATAACCATACAAAAAAACTCCTAGTAATATTTTGAAATTTGCCTCAGAAGCCCCTTGAGCATTTTAAAGATTTCTCAGCCACTTTTTTGAATTTATTAGTTTATTAACCTAACGCCCTATTCCTTTGAAATTATCCCCAAAACAATTTTAAAATTATGTTATTTGTTGAATTCTCATCATAACTCTTTTGAAATTCTTTTTAAAATTCATCTGTCATTGTCCTCACGATCCCCATACAATTTTCACAAATTGTCACAAATTCTTTTAAAATCTTCAAAATTTACAGAAGAATTTAATTTAAAACTTCCTTTCTTCTCCACAAAAATCCCTCTAAATTCATCGAACAATTTCTTAGGACTACATCCTAGCATCATTTTGGAATTCTGCTCTGAACTTCTCCTTCCAAAATTATGTAGGAATCCTCCTCAGTATTTCTTTGAACTCACAACTTTGACTCCTTTTAAATTTCACGTAAAATTCCAGGGTTTGTCCTCAGGATTTTATAGAAAGTTCTGTAATTTGTTATAACCCTTAAAATTCCTCCAAGTCTCAGAGCGTTGATAATGATGACTCCTGGGCCCATCAATATGATTTGTTTAAACCTGTGATCTTGGAAATTTTTCAAAATCTCACATTATAATTATTTTTTTTCTTTCAATCAAGGATCACGAAGATTGGTTTTGGTCACAAATTTTAGAAAGTCTACACAAATGTAGCCCCAGGATCATGGTAATTTCCTTGAATCGCATTTTTTTTTTTAAAGATTTATTTTAGTGCAGACAAGGGAGTGAAGACACATTTTCTTGTTCCGAGATCTCCAACAGTTTTCCTGAATCGCATTTGTTTCATGTTTTTTTAGAACAATGTTTTAATTAAATCTCTCATTTTTTACAGTTTGGTCTTATGACCCATTCAGCCAGATAGCATTTGGCCTAGCGCCCTTTATTCATAACTCTGCTACTCAGTAATTTTTTGGGATTTGATCGAGATCGAGATCGAGAACTGATACAAATAGATTTTTCAAAGTATCTCAAAAGATTAATGATTTCTAGATAGAGCTGGAATTAGGGCGTAACAGCTTTTGTAAACAATGACTTCTCTCGATGATTTCTCGGAAGCCATGGCTTTCCCTGGCAAATCAACATCACCATCGAGTAGAAGAAGACTTCTCCTACCCGATGGATATATTAGTTTGTGTAGACGTGCCTTAAATCCCGAGAAATCAACGAGAGAAGTCATTGTTTACAAAGGTTGTTACGCCCTAATTCCAGCTCTATCTAGATTTGTTTGGAGTAAATTATGTGACTCATAGATTTAAATCATAATCTCAACTTAAAAAAAAGACTTCCTGTTATTTTGATTCTGAAGATATTTTTTCCACAAATGACTTCCCAAAATTTGCAGTTGGCCATGTTTTAAAAAATGTGTTCAGTCTCGTTATTTGTTGAATATTAACAAGTGAGATTTTTTTTATGATTTGAACTGGGAGAACCAGGAAAAAACAGAAATATCAAAATGAAAATTCACTGGCCACCCTGCGAGTACAATTCGATAGGTTTCAGTGTTTAGTCTGACGTACGTTTCCGCCATCGTCTCAAAGTTCGTAGTACTTAATTTACATGACATGTTTACGCCTCATCCTTTATGTCAAAGTTGGATTCCTTCACGTATAAAATTAATAAAATTTCTAAGTGTGTAGGTCTTTTCCGATTGTTTCGATCCGTAATTTCTTCTCTATTATTCGCTACAATTGTTTTTTAAAGGGCTGCTTGTTGGGCCTACCCCAACTTTTTGCTTGCCGGAGGACCATCACGTACAGCTCTGTTTAGAGTCCCACGCTGGTATGAGGATGAGGATCAGCCGCCCCTAACTTGGGGAGCAGACGCTGTTTTGAGCCAAGCAGACCCGAAGAGACACTAGGAAAAGCTACGCTCTTCGAAGAGAGGAACCCTCCTTTCCCTGTCAGTATACAACCAGGTTACCACCGGGGTTTCTTATCCCATATTTCCTATAGTTACTCGTACTCCATCCGGCTCCGCGGGGAGGAAGCGATAGGAGTTACTGTACAAGAGGCTAAATACCACATTGGGGTCTAATTAAAACCTGTAGGTAGAACTGAAGTACTTCCTGGCTGCTAGTTAAATCTGGCTAAAATTACACAAGACCTTTGTGTGCCTTACTGGACGGTACAATCCGTTTTTTCGTTATCAGCGAAAACAAACTTAAACATGTCGAGAACATCTCCTCGAGGACAGGAAGCTTCCAAAAATTTATCTTCAGGTATATTTCGTCGTCCATTCTTGGTACTTCGTGAGAACCTGATCGTACCACTTCCGAGTGCCATTGCTTCAGCGTCCTGTTTGGTTGTTAGCTTGCACAAAAATAACGATAAGCTTTTCGTTGTCCGCGGAAGGTACTACGGCTGGCACCGTATTTTCTGGCGACATCACGATCTGAGAGTCCTGTGTTCTCCTTGATTATACTCAATATCTTCCAACGCAGCTGCCGATCGTAGGTTCCTCTACGATGCGATCTAAACTTAGTCTTAATATTTTTTATAATTGACAGGGTTAAATTAAGGTTAAGCATATTACTACTGTACACATCACTGATACTTGAATAATACCAGTAAACACCATCTTCAACCAGTAATTGAAAGTAATCCTGCAATTGAGGGTTTAAATTTCGAGAATACTTTATCATCTACACTAATGTTACAGAAATAAATGTTAAGCCAAATGCAGTATTAGATTTTCTTTCAAAAATATTTCGGTGATGAAGATTCAAATCATATTATATATTATGCGTATTTTCCACATTCCTCTAATGCCATTCGACTTTTGTGTGATACAAACATAAATCTAATACTGCATCACACCGAATGCCGACAACATTAAACTTCGTTTTTTAAACGTCCGTCTCCGCTAACTAGCAATTGCAATTAATGCTTAAGCGAAGAAAGAAAGCTACTGATGCTAAAGCTTAATTCAAAGCTTCACCATCAATTGACACAATTTTCTCAAACTACAAGTATTATATACCCTCAACATTGACATTCCACTCTTCAGTTCATAATGTACCTCATCTTGTTTGATATATTCCCCCATAATTCAGTAAACTGTATCTCGTAAATTAATCATACATTATTCTAACAAATGCGTTTTCTCTCTCTTTCTGTTTTATCATGCCAAAATCACAAATCCACAAACAAATCACACCGCAAATATTATCTGCGATCGCGCGCCCTTACTGTTGTGATGTGCCAATCTAAAACCAAAAAAAAAAATACATAAACAATAACCACACAATCCAAACGACACTACTGCCGCGAACAACAATCGTGTTTGTGTTTGTGTGTGTTTGCTAATGCCGCTGTTGCTAATCAACTGAAAACACCACTTGCTGCGTCTTGGTGGGCGACCAATTGGATGAAACTATGTACCAACAAAACCGAAACGTTAAATTCGAATCAAAATTTATGCTTCATCCTTTGTTGTTGTTGTTGAATAACACCGATTAAATTAACGATCGAACTAAACCGAACTATGTTTGGCGCAAATTGGTCGCGCAAACTTGCAATCCGAATCCACCGGACGCCGACGGTCAATAGTTTTGGAGAGACCTTCATCGCAGATGTCCTATTTGGACCATTTCCTGAAAGAATCTCGCGATGGTTCCGGTTCGACAACGCACACCAACTCGACACTAGCAGTGAATATGGTAATTTGATCTGTTTATTTCGCAAGTTTCATGATCTGTTTCACAAACTTAACGTTTTCTGTTTCTCACAACTAGCCGTCCCAGCAGAACAGTCAACACGTAACGTCTACTAGTTCATCGTCGAACAATCTTACCAACACGCCAATGAACCAGCATAATCAGAGCCTGTCGTCGCTGCATCAACAGTTGCAGCATCAGCAGGTCCAGCAGCAGCAACAGCAACATCTTCAACAGCAGCAACAGCAATCCCACACGTACAGCAATCAGCAACAGATGCACCAGATGCATCACTCCAACTACTCGATGGAAAGCGAGGAAGGTGACGTCGAGGATAACCGAGGCCATTCGCTGTCCAGCTCCAAGAGCAATCTGAGCGATCATTCGCTGGTATGTACATTTTTCTATTGATCCTAAAATGTTAGGTTTTAAACTCAAAAAATCATTCTTGGAGGATCGATCCGTTTTGTCATTAGGATTACTGATTTTCTTCGTAATGGCGGCTACTTGCCACCAGACAACCACAGGTTCTTCAAATTTCAATTCATTTCAAACAAACTAGTTTGTGTGGTTCAAAAGGCTTCGCATATCAATCTGCTCCATACTGAGTTTCAGTATTCCATTATTCCAATTTCATAGTGGGTCGTATGAATGGAAAGAAGCATAATCAAGCTCACAACCATTTCGGAATCCTATACGCCATAATAGCAGCATAGCATAATAGGAACGTATAGTTATACCACCGCTTATCACATAACGGTTCATGTCCTGTGGATTTTCTATCTCCATGGGACATTTATTGGCTTCGGAATCTCTCAAATTGCTCCATGTCCTGTATATTTATTTCTATTATTTTTGAGATATTTTTTTAAATCTTAAAAGGATCTTGTTTTTTTTTGTGTCTGAGATGAAATTTTTCAACGTCTGAACTGATTTGATAATTCCCTTGGAACTCTGCAGAGGAACTCCTTAGGATTCAATTCAGAAAAAAGCTTGGAGAGAACTCCGGAATTCTTTGAAATTGCTCAGGATTTCCTTTGTGTACCTACCTTTGAAATTCTCATTCACATAAGAACTGTCCTGCATTGCCTTTCAGAACTCTTTTGCTATTCTCCTGGTAATTACCTTGGAATATGCTACTTAGAATTCTTTTGAATTCTCCACTGAAATTTGGTGGAATCCTCCTTTTATTATTATTAATTTGATACATTTTTTTCAGAATGCCGTTCGAACGCTTCTCAAAATTACTGCAGCTATCGTTATATCAGAATTTGATTCTTTAGATATTTTCCACGGGATTCGCTGCAAACTATTTTCTAAATTGGCTTGTATTTTTTCTCATAATTATAGGACACTATTCTCAGAATTGGATTACCTTGGAATTATTCCTGGTATTTCTTTGAAGCTTTGCTCAAATTTCCCTTATTCCTTTGAATTGTCCTTTTGAATTATTTTTCGAATTCTCTGTGAATTAATCTCGGGCAGATCCGAGGAGCGCTACCAGAAATTAATTTAAATACTCCACATAATTACCTAGCCATAATTCCCAAAACTCCCTTTGAACTTTCTTAATCATCCTCCTAAAAATCTCCTAACAATTCTCATGTAATTTTTTTCAGGCAAGGATCCCACTGGCATTCGATATCGTGTGGCTTTAAGTTAAGCACACAATGACACATAGCCACAATCAGTGGGCGCCTGGCTTTCGAATAACTTTGAAATTCTACTCAAAAATATCGTAGAGTTCTCCTTAACATTAAATAAAAAAAACATTATGAGATACAAGCCTGAAACGAAATCTCGACAAAAGACTTGGATTTATCCATCTATGGTGAGATCTGACTCTTCTTACTAAATCAAATTTTGAGCCACTTCTCAGGTGGTATCCGAGACATGTCCAGTAGACTGATGAAAAATTTGAAATTTTCGCACAACAGTGCTCAAGCGGTTCCAAATCGGGTCCTGATAAGCCTCCCAAAATTTGAACTCATTTGGTAAGAAACTGACTAGGCACAAACCATTTGAAGTTTATATTGAAATTACTAAGGGAAAACCAAACTGTTTGTTCATTTACTTTTAGCTGTTCTAGCTGACTGTTAAAAAGTTCTTATGGGAAATTTTCTCTGAAACTTAACAGAAGATCGATTTCAGTTAAACTTAAATTGAAATGTTTATTAATTGTTCAGTGACATCGCCGTAACCTCAGGCTCAAAACGTAAAAGAACAAATATATATATATATTGCTTTCAACTGAAAACAAAAGTCCTACGGTATTTTATTTTAAATGCAGAAATCAAGAGAAAAACCCTCGCCCTCCACACCTCTATTAAAAACACAAAATACATTTTCAGAATTAGGATCGCTATAAATTATCAAATTATGCTCCATAATCAAGATGGTTTAAAGAAGTCCAAAATTTGAAATATTCTTTAAAGTCTCAAAATTTTGAAATGTATTTAAGTTACTTATAAATTATTAAAACTACAAGGGACAACCCTATGGGGTTGTACGCAATGGTGACGTAGGTCTACGTGGTCTTATGTAATAAATGTTATTTGTTAACTGCAGCAGGAGCTTGTTTTTGTGTGTGTATGAATAGGAATTTGAGCGGGGTTCTCTCAGTTTATACTCTTTAGTATGATTACGATAGCCCTGAAAAGAACCTTTTGCTATGAATTTTAGTTGGGTAGTTGGGGCAGCCTTGATAGTTAGCTGCTTGGTGGCGAGCCTTTCATTGTGTTCTGGAGAACACCATCACTCACCTCGCGGTGATTGCATAAACACCGTTCGATTAGACCGGATGGAATTCAACTTTGAAATCTGTGTTTAGTGATAAAATTATTGAAATTGGTCCAGGGGCAGCTGGGTTATTAACGTTCAAAATCTTTCATAATTTCGTTGCATGTTCGATTTTTGGTTTTCACACGTAGTCCTACGTCAAAAAAAAAAACGCTAGGCCGAATTGATGGATAAAGTTTTGTAATTATTTTCGTAAACAATAAGATCTACCGAACCTTGAATGCTCAGACTGGAATTATGTTGAATGACAAAATTATTAAGATTATGAAGCTGGGCCAGTTTTTCGCATTTTTGGTCTTTGCGAGATGTTTTACTTTAAATATTGCGTATTTTAAAGATATCAGTGTAAACAAATCATGGCTCTTGAATATGGATAATATTTTAGTATTCAGACACTATGAAGCATTGGCTTTGGCTAGAACATTATAATGAGACTGCCAAATGAGTTTGGAGGATAGTTGTAGATGAAATCTAGGTATAATGCTAAAGGACCTCTGGGAGAACTCTAATGGAATTTAACTAGAAATTTCAGGTTATTTTGAGAAGTATATCATGAAAATGTGTAAGGAGGAGTAAAGCCCATTCAACATTACAAGTTGTATCAAGGTTTTAAATCATTCTTCAAGTCTAAATCATGCTCCACAGAATCCTCATAAAACCAAAACTGTTACTTGGAAAGGATAGTGAGTTTTAAGGTAGTTCTCAAGAGACTATTATGAGGATTATAATTATAATACCAGGGAACTCTAAAGCAAATCGAAGGGAATTATTCTTCTTCTTCTTCGCATTTCAAGCTTATTGCACATCGCATATTAGCTTATTACGTGCTCTCAACTTAGTGTTCTAGATGCACTTCCACAGTTATTAATTGAGAGCTTTCGATGCCTGTACCATTTTTGCATTGGTATAATTGTGTGTCAAGTCCAATCATACTTCTATGCCCAGGGAAGTCGAGAAATTTTCCAACCTAGACCGGACCGGGAATCGAACCCAGCCACCTCTAGCATGGTCTTGCTTTGTAGCTGCGCCTTTACCGACTGAGCTAAGGGAGGCCCCATCGAAGGGAATTTCAGGGAGCATTTCAAGGAAATTCGGAGCCCCTTTCCTTTAAACTGAATTAACCCTAGGGCAAACTTGACTACATGATTGCAATTGTGAAATTACGCCTAATGATTACCTACGGCTGAAAATCTCTTAAATGTTGATCAATCAAAGCGTAATTTTGAGAAGGGCTGCCTGAAAATATGGATGATAATTCCATGGAAATCTAGTTATTAAAATACCTCAACAATTTCTTTGCAGTATTTCATGCTAGTTTGAAGATTGTTTCAAATTAATTTATAAGAATTTTAAGGTAATTTCAAGGAGTTTCTGGAAGGGTTTGGCAAGAAATACTGAGCATATTTTCAAAGAAACTGTGGATATTGCTCCAAGAGAATAAAAAAATCCAAAGGAGAAAATACTAAGGAGAGTTTCAAGAAAATTCCAAAATAATTCGCTCAAGGGCAATTTAAGAAGAATTCTGGAGGAAATTTATGGAAGATTTGGGAGAATACATTTCTTAATTCTAAATGGCATATCAAGAGATTTCTTACGCATATTTATAGCGACTTATCTGTAAAACTTTGCAGAGAAATTAAACAAATTCTCTTAAGAATCATTAAAAATGCGAGATTAAATTAAGAGTGAATTTCAAGAATGTTCTGCATAGAATTCTTGGGCTGTTGAATCATAAAATTGTTGAGGAAAATCCTGATAGTTCAAGTAATTGTGAAGACTCTTTGGAATGGTCTTAATTAAATCCTTGATAAATTTGCAAAGATATCCAGAGCTCAGTTTCTATGAAACAGTTTAGTAAATTCTAAAATTGAAACTTTTTCAAGATTCCGTGCACAGAAATTCAAGAGCCAGGATTAACAAAATCTTCAAGATTCTAAGAACAAGTACATATTTCAAGATCCAGGTCTTAGAAAGCTGTTCAAGATTATGGGGCTAGAAATTTCAGAAAAGTATAACAATAAGAAATGTGTGATTCAATCTCTGGACGTGTATTCCCAGAAATGGAGACATTTCTGTAGTTCTGAAAAGTTGCCATCGTTCAAAAATTATCAATCTTGAGAATTTTTGTTATTCCTTGATCCTGTATTTCTGTGTTGTACGGAACCTGGATGTTTGATTTCAATCTTTTAAATTACTTTTTTTTTCTTTGGAACTTATCTTAGGCAATGTTGCAAATACTCATTTCAGTTAAAACAATGTTTTTGTTTTTAATTATTAAATAATTAGATACCATGATCATATTTTGAATTGGTAGGATACAAGAAGAGGTTGCAAAGAATGTGTTTGACATATTAAACCTGTTTATTTCACTTCATGAGAGTCACAATCAGCGATTTTTCACAAACTCACTCACTCAACACTCACTCACTCAGCGATCGGCAAATCGCTGATTGTGACTCATAGAAAGCAAAATTTACAGGTTATATGTTTCAAACGCCAGACATGTTTATGCCTCAGAACATCCCGGCAGCGCCGACTGGGATTGAATCCAGGCCTACTGGGGTGAGGGGTAATCACACTTACCACTACATCACCGGCGCCGCTTTATTTGCAACCTTGATCTTAATATCTTTGCAAATATCTCAAGGATTTCCGTTGGATCATTCTAAAATGTCTTCATCATTACTTTTAATTTCATGATTACGTTAAATAATCTGTGCGGTATTCCTTAGAAATTTGTTCCATAACAGTCTCGGAAGTCAGCGCACAACACTTATGGAATTCCTTCCAAAAAAACTCACGAATTCAGTTTACAATTATATTTTAAATCTTAATAACTCTCGCGAGAATTTTGTATAACTTCTTTATAACTTTCTGGATTGGACCTAAGAATTCCATGATCATTACCTCCTTGAAATTCTTCTCAAAATGTCCTTGAGAGAATCTTTTGGAATTTTCTTGGAATTATCTTGAAAATCCTGGATATCTTGGAACACTACGCACAAAAACTTTGAAAATATGATCAAACCTTCCGGAAACTCCCTCAAAATCCCTCAAAATGCTTAAGAATTCTCTGAGGAATTCTCTTGAAACTATCTTCTAACTAGCTGGAAATTCTGCAACGATTTGTTTTATGTATATTAAGAATTAGATCTTCGTGGAACTATTACCATATTTACTTGCAGCTCTACTAAGAATTTATCTTTGATTAATTCATTGATCCACATTTAAGAGATTTTCAGCTGTACATACTTTTTGCCGAGATTTGCACAGCCGAGTGCTCGGCAATCTGTTTTACTGAGATCTCAGCGAACAAACGACATGTTTGCTGAGATCTCAGTAAAACTGATTGCCAAGCGCTCGGTTGTGCAAATCTGGCGAAAAAAAAACTAAGTGTGTAGGTCATCATTAGGCGTAGTTTCAGGATTGTAGTCATATCATCATAAATTTTGCCGTATGGTAATTCTCTCCGAATTTCCATAGAATGCTACCTGAAATTCATGCTGATTTTTTTTTAGAGCTCGATGGAATTCTATTCAAAATCAACATAGCAGTATTTTCAGGATAAGCTTAGGATTCACCTTTAGTTTCCCTCAAATACTTCTCAAAATTACTTGAAATTTATAGTCATCCCATTGGTTATCCTTCCAGAATTTCTCCGTAATTATCCCTAGAATTCCCATTTTTTTCCTGAATTTTAGGAATTATAGTCATAATTCAATGCACCAAAGTGTAAGAATCCATAATTTTTTCCTAAGTCTAGGAGCCCTGATTTTTTTTTTAAATTTCAATATTCTGAAATTTTTAAAAATATGTAAAATTTCTTTAAACTCGAAATCGATCATGCCGGTATTCCTTTCATTAAAATCCATGGAAACTTGAAAACTGACAAAAATCTTAGAACAAAAACTTTCTTTATGTATTTTTGTTCTAAGAAAATGATTTAAAACGTCTCAAACATTCAAAATGTTTGTGTTTTACCTCATACGTGAAGTTAACGATTTTCAGAGTTGGGTTGGAAATGCTATCTAACATGAAGCTATTATTTTCTTCTACAACTTTGTTTTAGACGTCATTTCGGTCGGAAGTGACGTTTCCACGCTACAATTTTTTGAAAATTTGTGAGTCGTCATTTCGAATGGACATGGTCGGATTTTAACAAAAATGTTAATCATTATCCATAACGAACAATTATGCAAAGTTTCATGCAAATAGGAGAGAGTGGAGTTTTTCCGATTCATCATTTGGCGTGGAACTGGTCAATTAATGGTTTGAAACCAATTAATACGCCCATCTCCCCTAATGAAAGCAGCCCCGGCATCTCAGATTCTAAATCCGGCACTGCTGCGATCTGAGTGATGAATTTGCAATATTGATATATAAACTCATAAGTTCAAATAGTTTGTAGAGAATGGCATAACGGTTATTTGTTGTGCACTTGTCAGTTGAGTACTTGGCACTGATGAAGTCTGCAAGTAGTAGACGAAATACGCGTATCTGTCAAAAGATAAGCAATTATAACGGAATTTAAAGGAAATAAACCAACCCACTCAAAGCTCTTTATATAAAAAGTAATTTTTCCTTTCCGTTCGTTAAATATTTAAACAAAAATGACACAGCTGACTATCCCTAACTCGATATTAAATGATGGGTGGTATTGGTGTCGCTATTCTCAGAAGTTAGTTGTCTGGAATGTAATTTCCCAGATTGTCCTATTTTCCCGAAAATCATTTGCGTTAGTGAGGGGATGGGCATAGAGTTAGCGCTAAGTAAATCTAGGAAGAGGAGGTGGCGGGTGTTGTCACGCGTTAATTATTGTTATAATATGTATTCCGGGATGTCTGGGTTTTGTATGAACGCTACATGAAAATAGTTGTAAAATTCCAGTTAGGATATAACAGCCAAAAAGAAGAATATCCCGAAATAATGATGTTCTAGCGATTTTCAACAAGTTGAAAATCAAAGATCTATTCTTTGCTTAATTTCTTCATTCTCTTCCCTTCCCACAGAGCATGCACAGCGTGATGATGCCGAAGCAGAAAGTGCACCAATTCCTGGTGCGCACGTTCTCTAGTCCCACTAAGTGCAACCACTGCACATCGCTCATGGTCGGCCTGACCCGGCAGGGCGTTGTGTGCGAGCTGTGCGGCTTCGCCTGCCACATGATCTGCTGCCAGAAGGTACCCACGCAATGCCCCGTGCCGTCCGATCAGACAAAACGGCCGCTCGGAATCGATCCAACCCGCGGCATCGGAACGGCATACGAGGGCTACGTGAAGGTACCTAAGCTGGGAGCCGTCAAACGTGGCTGGGTGCGCCAGTTTGTTGTTGTTTGTGATTTTAAACTATTTCTGTACGACATCTCGGCCGACCGCAGTGCATTACCAAGTGTTCACGTTACTCAGGTAGGATGGAATCTTCTCTTTAATTTGAATATTCAATGATCTGTAATCTGTACTGTATTGCAATTAATTAGGTATTAGATATGCGAGATCCTGAATTTGGAGTATCCGGGGTTCGGGAGAGTGATGTAATTCATGCAGCTAAAAAAGACGTTCCTTGTATCTTTAGGGTGAGTTCTTCAAAGCAATCACACTCGGCGTCAGCTATTTACACAATTAAATGCCATTCTCATCTTCTTCAGATAACAACCTCCCTGCTGGACGGTGGACCCTCGCTGCAGACGCTTATGCTGGCGGATACCGAATCCGAGAAAGCCAAATGGGTGGTTGCACTAAGCGAATTACATCGAATATTGAAACGAAACAACCTACCAAATACGGCCATATTCCGTGTGAAGGAGGTGCTGGACAGTTCCCTAACGGCAATTCGGAGTGCGCTGAGTGCGCTCATCATCGATCCGGATCGGATTCTGCTGGGTACGGAAGACGGTCTGTTCTGTTTAGATTTGGACCGTAGCGAGATCGCTCGGATAGGTGAGAGTAAGAAGGTCTACCAACTGTGGTACATTGCCGAGGAACAGTTGCTGGCGATTTTGTGCGGCAAACAACGACACTTGAGGCTGCTGCCGATTAGAGCTCTTGAAGCGACGGATGTGGAATGGATTAAGGTAGCTGAGTCTAAGAACTGCATAACTGCTTGTACAGGAATAATCGAACGTGGACCGCAACCTGTGTATTGCATTGTGATTGCTTTGAAGCGACAGAATACTTCACAGATTGTGGTGTACGTTGTCAATCGAAACCGAAGTCGGCATCATAAGATGTGCGAATTTACGGTAGCTTATCCGGTACAGAGTTTGCAAGTGCTTTCCGACATGCGACTGGCGGTAGGCCACCAGAGTGGATTCACGGCGTACTGCTTGCAGGGAGAGGCCCAAGCAATGCGTAAGTTTGCAAATCTTAGATGTCGATTGGTATGAAAGAATAACTGGACTGGTCTTGTTTCAGCTCTTGTCCATCCGGATAACCAGTTGAACAATTTTCTCGCTTATTCTGGGGTGGATGCCTGGCGAGTTATCGAGATCCAATCTGGGCAAGGATCGAGTGGTAAGTTCTAAAGTGCTTCCACAGAAGATGCAAATATGTTAAGTATTTTCCTCCATTTTAGCCCATGGAGAATATCTCCTAGTATTCCAAACGTTAGCCATTTACGTAGATTTGCAAGGTCGCAAATCTCGTGATCGGGAAATCATGTACCCAGCCGTACCTACCCATATAAGTAAGCTCTTTGCAGGGATATTCTAGTAGAATGGAACCGGTTAACGATTGTTTCCTTTATCTTCCAGCCTATTGTGATGGTCATCTGCTAGTCTACTCGGAAACACATCTAGATATTTTCAACGCGCAAACCGCCGAATGGGTCCAGTCAATTGGACTCAAACGATCCCGTCCGCTGATGAACAATGGTAGCCTTTCGTTGACGACGCTGAACGACACGTCGCACGTCATCTACTTGGCTAACATGCATACAAGTAAGTGTGATACAAAATGTTTGACCCAAGAGCTTTGTGCTTTTCAATTCAAACGTTTGAAATTTAATTCAATGGTGTTAATCATCTCTTTCTCCACAGGAGAGCTACTTAATTTAGCGCCATGCGATCGAGATGGACGGTTGAAAACGAAACGTTTCTCGTTACGCAACGAGGGTAGCCGTACTATAAGATCGTGAGTTCCTTGCCATTCATAACCCTTGTTGATTCTATACTAATACTAAGTAAATTTGCAGAAGCACCGATCGACGTTCGAAGCTGATTTCCGCTCCGACAAACTTCAACCACATCTCCCACATGGGCCCTGGAGACGGTATCCAAAAGCAGCGGCTACTCGATCTTCCGACGACGATCGAAACGGCGGACCAAAATAACCAGCTCAGAGTAATTTCCGCTTTTCTCCAGATTAAATAATCGAACCCAACAATTTCACTGTCCACTTGGTAAATTTTTAGGTTTCAACGATGCGACATGCCCCACCGCCACCGCGAGCACCACCTCGACCGATGATGCATCCCCACAATGGTAAGTAATTTGGTAAAATAGCGAACGATGCCACACATCGCCCATTAAAAGAAGGTTCCAATAATTCTTTCCCAGGTGCAAAGCGGACGGCACCAGCGCGGCCACGTGATCAACCCCCCTCGTTACCACGGTCACCCAGTCCACTGGGCAGCATGTCGTCTCTGCAAGATGTCCTGAAAGTAAGTTATAATTCACAGATCTTTTGACCAGTGTACGATTTTTCCTGAAAAAAAAAAATCCCAAGAATTTCCAAAACATTTTTCTAATACACCGGAAATATTAAAAGTGTCGGCAGTTTACCGAGTGGTGGAAATATGCAAGTCTTTTCTCCCCTCTACGCAATAAATTCCTGGGAGTACCTCAAGAAAATTATATGAAAAATAACAAAGCAATTTTGGGAGACTATTTAGGACATCAATACTTAAAATGTTTGATAGGTTTTAGGCCCCTTCCTTTACTTAGACAATCTTCCATATACATTTTGAATTTTTATATGAACCGTGAATAATCACAAAGCACATCCCCCCTACTAAACTGTCTTCGTGGCTTATGGACTTCTCCTAAGCTACACTAAGAGGCTATTCATAAACAACAGAAACCATACACAAGATTGCAGTTCCAGGTTGTGCAAGTTGCAAACTCCATTTGAATAGCCATTTTAAAACTTTTTATTTTATTTATAAACAGTTCCAATGTATTCGAATATAAAGCGCATTAGTCAATTACTTTTTTTTATTAAGGCTCAAATTTACAAAAGGACTGTACGGAGCCAAGAAACAAAAAAATATTTATAAGAAACGAGTTGAGTAGTTCTTCTTAGCTTTCCTGGGAGACAGCTTGAGCTTTACTTCAGATTTCTGCCGTGATCACACCTCCTTTTCTTCTTCCAATCGTTTTTTTTTTCATACCGCCAACCGCCTGGCCTCCTCTTTGTCCTTTATCCGCTCCTTCTCCCATCCCAAATTTAGACGGCTGCTGTTTCTGAACATCGCTTGCTTCCTCTCCACTGTTCATGTACATTTCGAACACTTTTTTTCAATCACCTCAACCCCACTGCTTCCTTGTCATTGTTGTCCTAAGATACACTTCCACCACACCAGTGCATCTCTAAAAATCTCAAGGAAAACTAAAGATGAATCCCTAAAAAAATGTTATCATTAATTTGCTTAACGACGTGTTCGGGGTATCATCCAAACCATTTGTAGAATAGTTCAATCATTTGGGTAATCGTTCGTTTATGGTAATTTTCTATTAGGGATTCCATGGAATTGAAGGAAATATTCTAGGAAAATTCGGAGTAGAATTCAAAATATGACAAACTTAATGATGATCTGGCTGCAATCCTGAGCTTGATGATCACCTACTACTGACTATCCCTTTAGTTCTTTTAATTGATCGATAATCTATTATCTTAACTCTTTCCGTTTTTGAATTGGTGGCCCTGGCCCTGAAAAGGGCCTTTTGTTTTTCAAATGGTGGCCCTGAAAAGGACCGTTTGTTGTTTTTTCCTGGTGTCCATCGAACGGGTTGTTGGAGTTGGAGGGTACGGAACAAATCGCTGTTGCCTTTTGGTGCTCCTGTTATTTTGGCACTATTTGTTGATATTGCTGTTCTTTTTGCATCAGTGGATGGACAACTAACACGAAAGGCATAAACGTGCTACCAATTGACGTCTGCGTTAGGTTCAGCCTAACGGAACGACTGCAGTGGAACGTCCGAAAGATGGTGAAGTCACTCAGAGAGCCTCCGATGTCCGCGTCCTTCAGGGTCCTACCAAATTGCAACTGATCGCGTTCACTGAATTACAGTCTGTTTTGTACTTGCAGAACAGCTAATTAGGCCCCTTCTTTTTGGAGTATTTTTCGCCAGAACGTTCCTAGTTCCAAGTATATGTCGGCATTCACACCAGACCAAGACGTGCTCCGACGCCTCCGACCAGCATTGAATTGGATTGTTGTGAACGAACAACTAACGCTACTTGACTCTTTCACACCAGTGCAAGTCGATGCCGACCGGATGACGGCGGCGCAGTCATGCTGCCTATGGTGCGAAGCCGTTCCTCCGGTCGATGTGGGTGCATTCGTCGTCGTCTTCGGATTGTTGTTGTTGTTGTTGTTGGAGTTTCGATTTGTTGGCCCGAGGAGCTGTGCCTCATAAACGCCAGTCGCTGTGACGGTTAGTCGTTACCTAGCCGTTATGGATTTATTCTTGCCATTCGGATGAATTTTATTATGTTTTTCAACTCTACGTTATTTACTCCTTCTTTGTCACGTACTAGGTCTTGTATGCGTCTGTGATCCTCCCAATCAAAGTAGTTTCGAATGTGGGTGTACTTTATACAGTTTAATAGCAAATGTTCCGTTGTGTCAATTTCATCGCAAAGATCACATTCTTCTGATTCTACCAGCCGCATTTTGGCCAGCCAGTAATTCGAAAAATCGTGACCGGCCATAATCCTGTTGAGTGTTCGCACCTCTTCACCGTTGAATTCCGAGTTCCAGAACCACGGTCTTCCAGGAAAACAGTTGAACAAATCGTAAAATTTCTTCCCTTTATTCTGAGTGAATACGATGTTGGTATACCACTCATTTGTAGCTTCTGCTAGCTGCTTCTTATAGCGAAGTACCACATCGTTCCAGAGGAGCTTGTTGACGATAACCGCATCATTGTTTAGTCCTGCTTTGGCCAAAGTATCTGCTGCTTCATTGCCCTCCAGGCCCACATGGCCAGGGATCCATTGTAGTATAGTGCCCGTTGATTGAAGTTCCTTGCAGATTGCTCCTGTTAGACTGTCCCAAGTTTTGCATTCCTGATGTTTTGCCAATAGCAGACAGGCTGATTGCGAGTCGGTGAGTATCACAGTGTTCTCTCTGTCTAATTTTGAAATTTCTTCTAGGCCAATCCGTATGGCAACGAGTTCCGCCGTCATGATGCTGGAGTGTTGTTCTAACTTAAGACTTATGTCCATTCCGGTCTCGCGTTCGTAAACTCCTATACCGCAAGCGTCCGCTGTTCTCGAGGCGTCCGTATATACCCTTCGCCATAGAGGGTACTCTTTGTTCATGTATTCCAGGGTGATTTGTCGCATAGTAGATGGAGCCATTTTAGTTTTATTGATAGGCATTCCTTCAATTTGGTGCCGAATCGTGACATCATATGCAGTCTCTTCCGTGACTTGCTCGTAGATTCTGCTCACTTCAATCGCGTTTTCAATGTAGACTTTCTCGATGAATGTGAATCTCTTGTTTCCAGCTGTATCGTGGTTTTGTAGGGAAATTAATTGATGATATACTGCATCTTGTTTGCGAAAGTGGGATGATATTCTCTTCTTTGTCCAATAGTACCGCTGCAGTTCTAGTGGCTCCTCATTTGCTAGGGCAGCCAAGGTGTTGATCGATGTAGTCTTAGAACATCCCGTAGCTATGCGTTGACATTGTCGATGTGTTACGTCTAAGTCGTTCCGGTAGGTTTTAGATGTGCTGCCGTAGACCGAGCTGCCGTACCGGAGGAAGCTATCGTATAGTGCTTTATGGAACAGTATCATTACTTTTGGAGTCGCTCCCTTCTTTATGCTGCCTATGACTTTCAGCATATTTTGTCGATCTTTGATCTTGTGTTTCAAGTCTCGTACATGCGTGCCGTAGTTTAAGTTGCTGTCTATACAGATTCCCAGATATTTGTAATATCTAACGCACTCTATAGACTTATCCTTGATCTTTAGATCTATTTTCGTCTCTTTTGGTTGGAATACTATTACTTTCGTTTTATTGCCGTTGATTTCGAGTCGCAGGCTATCGCTGTGGTCCACGAAGTTGTCTATCACTCGTTGTGCTTTCACTTTGACTTCATTGAGACATTTACCGCTAATTATCTTCACAAAATCGTCCGCGTATTGCACTGTCACCACATTTTCCTCGTCGTCATCGGTTTCGTGCAGCTCCTTGGTATATAAGTTAAAGAGGGTGGGAGACAACACATCCCCCTGAGGCAATCCTCTTGAGATTGTGGTTGATACCAACCCTTGTTCCGTTTGTATAACCAGCTTTCGGTTTTTCAAGAAATTCTCGATCCATACTATGATATCCTCTGCAAATTCCATTCTGGTCAAAGTTGCTATAAGTATGTCTGTATCCACCGCATTGAATGCATTGGAAAAGTCAAAGAATACTGCTACACTTATCAAATTGCTTCTTTTAGCTGCCATTAGATGATTTGTTACGAACTCGAGACAGTCCTCCGTTGATTTTCCTGGTCTGAACCCGAACGATAGATCCGGTAAGAGTTCCTCCCTGCTCTCATGTTGTTGTATTCGATGTAGTACTGCAGTGTTAGCTGATTTGACGATCGTCGACAGGCATGAAATCGGCCTGTACGCCGATAGTTCGGTTGCATCCCGTCCGGGTTTCGCAATTGGTACTATTTTGACCTCCTTGAAGCTTTCCGGCAGGTTTCCAGCGGCGTAGTACGTATTTATTTCTTGAACAATTTTTTGCTTTGTCTGTGTGTTTAGATTCCTCAGAATCTCGTAAGTTAGGCGGTCTGTTCCTGGCGCCGAATGGGCCTTCTTTTTATGGATGATATGATTCCATTGCTCTAGGTTGAGCAACTCTTTTGCAGAAGCCGTACTTGGAGATTTGGGCTGAGTCATTGTTGGTTGTGTGGGCCCGAAGTGTCCTTCTAGGAATGTTTCAGCTTTTTCTCTCGCCGTAAGTACTATGTTGTTCTTGGTTTTGTTTTCGTGGTTGTATCGTAGCCTCCTTACCATGCTCCAATTAGACTTGGTATCTCGTGGATCGATATCCTTCGTGATGGCCGCGAGATTTTCCTTCATCAGTAGCTTTTTCTTCCGTAGAAAAATCGCTTTGGCTTTTTGCAGCTTAAGTAGATTTTCTTCGTTTGATAACCTGTTAAAGGTTCTCCAGCAGTCTTGTTTCTCTTTGTACAGGAGGGAAAGTTCTTCGCTCCAATAATATTTTGGGACGAAGTCGCTCACCCCGCTGTTTCTGCTTATCGTGTCGGTAGCTAGGCGTTGCAGGTCCTTAATTGACTCCAGCTGCTCTGCATCTATGAGCGCAATTTCCTCATTGATCTCCTTCCGATTGAAAATAGCTCTTTGTTTTTTGGATTGTATTTTTTTCAGCTCGATATCTATTATACGATGGCCTGAGCCGCCAAATGT